TATCCGGGGTAGTATGTTGGCTGTTAACGTGCTGGTAAAAAGGAATTTGGGTATTAGGTTTTATATGTAAGGCGTAGCCATGCAAAGCGGGTAGGTCAGAGCAAATGAGAGCAGGGGGTTTTATTTTGATCTTAGTTGAATCTACGAAGGCGAGTACTGCAACTATAACTTCGTGCGTAGGGTTATTTAAGATGTTTGTCAGGTTTATGGGATTGATGGAGATTCTACTTAGTTTTCTATATAGGTTGTTGATGTGGTCTGTCTGTTTTGTACATTCTAGAAATATGTGGTGGAGGTCTTGTTCGGTGGCTCCGCAGTCACACAAAGGGCTGGTTTCTAAGCCAATTCTATGCAGATGGGATTTTGTGAGACAGTGACCACTTCTTAGTAGAGATGTAAAAAAAACGGATTTTTTTCAGATGTGAAAAAAACATGAAAAAAAACTAGAAAAAAACGGTTTCTTTGTTTTTTTTTAAAATGAAATTTTGAGTAAAATGTATATTAATAATAAAGTAAAATGTAGAATACCTATATTACATTTTTCATTATTGAAAATTTTGACCGAGACTAAAAAATCTGATTTCTTATTATTTGGTAGTTTCCACATTAGAAACCAATAGCAATGTAAAACTTCTACACTAATACAAAAAATTAAAGGATAAATGCGATTCTTCAGATAGCTGTCTCTTTGTTAAAAATGGTATTGGAGCCGTAAAAAAGCAATTTGAAGCTTGAAGTTTCTAGTTTTGAGCTTTTTAGATGAAAAACGTGCAACGCTCAGTCCTAACGAATACCGTAATAAAAAAAAATTGACTTACCCACCAATGAATAAATTTTCTACAAAAATTTGCTATTGTTTAAAAAAATAATTTTGAAAAATCATGAAAAAAAGTGCTTTTGGTAGCTTTTTGAAAAATCAAGCGCTGAATCAAAAATATTATATGTAGTTACTTTTTTTAGGACCAAATCAAAACAAGCGCGGCCCTTATTGGTCAATTTGGTGGTGGTGGCACGTGCATAGCGCGAGACTGTATTTACATTTACTAATTGTCATTTAGTGACTAATTTTAGTCCATGAACTGGACTGGAAACTTAAAAAATTAGGCAAATGGGACTAATTTTGAAAAAAAAACCTAAAATGTGAAAAAAAAAACCATTTGAAAAAAAAAATGAAAAAAACCTGAAAAAAAAACAAAAAAAACGGACCGTTTTTTTTCAAGTCGCATCTCTACTTCTTAGTCTCAGGAAGGTAGTGATGTTGATTGAGATCCAAGGCTTTTGAAGTTCTGGTGTATGTGTGGAGTAGAATCTGCCTGATTGCGTTAGGTTTTTCTTAAATGTGTTTTTCCATCTCTTGTGTATGTCGTGTTTTATTAGTTTTATGAGATCTTCGTAGGATGATCTTTCTGTTAGGTCTTCCAACTTGCATTCTTGCTGGCTAGGTTGTCCGCTATTTCGTTGCCGGGGATGTTCGTGTGGCTGGGAACCCAGCAGAATTCTACTTTCGCTCCCCGTACTTCTAGATTGTGTAGAGTGGTCTTAGCTTCAAATTTGAGAGAGACTTTTTTTGCAGTGTTGTTGGTGTTTCATATTTTTTGAAGTGCTGCCTGGGAGTCTGAGAGGATAATAAAGTGTCTTCTTCCGGATTGGATATGGCTGTTTGTAGCGTGTAACAGAGCTTGAGCAATTGCAAAGCATTCTGCTGTCGCTATGGAGGCATGGTTTGGGAGTCTGGCGGAGTATTTTAGTTGATTGGAAGGGTCATAAACTCCTGACCCAACTCCGACTTGGCTGACTGAGCCGTCCGTATAGTAGGCTTCCCAGCCTTTCCATTTGTTTTGAAAGTAGTGCAGAAAAGCCTGTTTATTGTCCGTTTGTTTTTGGAGAGCCGGTACGTGGATCTTTCTTTTAAGGGTGATGGAGTCGAAGTTTGTATTGAAGCAGGGGAGGAGGAGGGAAGTTTTTATCGAGGCGGTTTTGTTGAGGAAAAAGTCCAATGCGTAGACTATAGGGGGAGGAGATTTGTTTGCCCAGTATATTCCGTCGTCATAGTAGTCCGAGTAGACGCCTATAAATTTTGCTTTGACTGGGTGGTTTTCCAAGGAGAACAGTCTGCCTACATACTTGGAAGCCAGCCATTCCCTTCTTAGGTGGAGTGGTTGTTCCCCGATTTCCGCTAGTAATACATTCACTGGGGTAGTTTTCATGTATCCTCCTATAATTCTTAATGATTGGTGTTGGATTTTTGATAATTTTAAAATGTGGGTCTTGGGTACTCGAGAGAAGAGGGGACTGCAAAAATCCAGGAACGGCCTTATACATGCTTTGTAAATCAGAAGTAGAGTTCGGGGGTCCGCCCCCCATTTTGTACCACATAAGCTTCTTAAAATGTTTAGCCTCTTGGACGCCTTGATGCATGCGTGGTCTATGTGGCACCCAAATATTTTATAGAATCTGCCCAAGGGATTATTTGACCGATTGTATGTATGTTATTTAAGGGGCGGTAAGTAGATGTTTTCCTAAAGAGAATGGCAGAGCTTTTGTGGGGGGCTATATTCAAGACATGATCTAGTAGCCAGTTGTTGATATGGTCGAGGTGTAATTGAGTCCACGAGGGTATTGTCGTTGGGGACAGAGCACAGGACGGCCAGGTCGTCAGCATATTGGATGATTTTACATTGCATGAAGGCGTTATGATGTAGTAGATTAGTGTATACATTGAAGAGGAGAGGGCTGAGGATTGAGCCTTGGGGGAGCCCGAGGGAGGCTGTGTTGGGACCGAGTTTATAGTCTTTGGCTTTTGGATCGAATATACGTATATATATATATGTGTCTGTTTCCATAAAGTTTTAGAATTAGGTCTGCTATATTTTTCGGAAAGTTAGATTCGGCGAGGAGAACTACGTTATCGAACGCTCCTGCGATGTCTAAGGTTGCTAGGATTAAGTGGTTCCCTTTTACGAGTTCAGTTTGTAAGTTGATGTTATAAAGGCTAGTGGATCCAATATACTTTTTCCTTTTCGGAACCCGAATTGAAAAGGGTATAGGATGTTTGTTGTTTCTAGGCAGTTTTCTAATCTGTTTTTTATAAGTGATTCGAGTAGTTTTAGTAAGCATGAACTTAAGGATATAGGTCTGTAACTAGTTAGGTCCATAGGATTTTTTTTAGGTTTAAGGATCGGGATTATCAAGTATTGTAGCCAATCTGATGGAGGGGGAGTTTTCTTGGTGAGAACTTTGTTGAAGTAGTCTAAGAGTTTGTATTTTGTAGACTTATGAAGATTATTTATAGTACGTGATACCGTCCAGTCCTGGAGCAGAGTCTTGTTTATTGTTTAGACAGTATTCTAGTTCTGACATGGAAAATTCGTGACACCTATTTTGACTAAACCTTGTCGTCGACAAGTTGTCGATGGGAGTACATTATTGACGAACGGAGGGCACAGTTTATTTATCAATTCTGAGGCTAGTCTGAGGGATTCATTGGAGGCGATTCTTTGGGGAAAGTAAATCCATTGGAGAAATGTTTTACCTTTGCCCATATTGTGGACAGATTCGTATCTGGTTTGAGGTCCTCGCAGAATTTGTGGAAATTCTTTTTTTCCGTTTTTAGAATTCTCTTGGTGGTTGCAGCTGTTTTCTTGGCTTTGAGGAAGTTGTCCAGGTTGAAATCTCTTTTGAGTTGTAGGAAAGCTTTTCTCTCCTTTATTGCTCTAGAGCATTCTGTTAACCACCATGGGCAGTGAGGGTTGGTTCTCTTGTTTTCCCTATGCTTAGGAATGGCTGAGTCAGCTGCGATGAGTTTTATAATTTCTTTATAGGAGTTGATAGATATTATATGGGATGAGTTAGAGAGAGATGTGTAAAGATTCCAGTCTGCCAGTTTCGTGTTGTATATTTTGTTTGGAGGTTTGGGGGTTGCGGTAGGTGATTTTCTGTTGGTTATCCTCATTTTGATCGGAAAGTGGCCACTTGATCCTGGATCCTGTATTGTTTGAAATGTTGTAGTACGCGAGATTGATGGAGTAGCGAGGATGACATCTGGAGTGCTGGCGGAAGGCGGAGGGGTTAATCTTGTTGGAGAGCCGTCATTCAGGACTACTAAATTTTGATGGTCAGCTATTTCGTTTAGGATATCTCCATTTGCATTTTTGTTTGTTGAGCCCCACATTGGGTTTTGTGCGTTGAAATCTCCCATAAATAGATAGGGACCTTGTATACCTTGTAGAATTCTATTGATTTCGTATTGGGGGAGGCGGAGGTCTGGAGGGTTGTAGATTGCTAAAATAGTGAGTTTATCTATTTTTATTCTTAGGATTTGGAATCTGTCATTTAGATGTTGGGGGGGGGATGATAACTGAGTCGGCATTAATGTGAAGTTTTGTTAGTATTGCTATACCTCCTTTACCATCCTGACGATCTTGGCGAAGGCAGGTAAATCCTGATATTTTAAAAGTTTTTCCCGGTTTTTAAAAATGTTTCGTTGAGTGCTATTATGTCTGGATTTTCTTTTCTTATTACTCCCACTAGATCAGCTTTATTGCTTATAGCAGATCTTATGTTCCAGTGGATTAATTTTAGGCTCCTATTTGTATCTATTTTTTTGTGTGTTTAAGTAGATGGAGAAAGGGAGGTTGTGGAGTGGTATGAGTTGGAGGTGGATGGGGATGTAGGCTGGGCAGCCATGTTGGAGATAAGAGTAGCTAATTCTTTAATTATGTCGGGGATAGATGCTTTTGAAGTGGTTGTTTGTTCTCTAATTAGGTTTAAAACTTTTCTGTGATTGGGTCTTTGAATAATTTTGAGTGTTGGTTGTTTACGAAATATGTTGATGTAAGCCTTGGGGATGGGGATATTAATTGAGAATTATGGGCTGCTCTGTCATATCCTGGGCTGTGCTGTTGTATTTCTATTTTTCTTTTTGATTGTTATACAACTTCGGAGTGGGATGTAGGCGGCATTTCTTGTAATCTTGTATTGGAGTTGAGTTCTTCAAGAATTCAACTCCAATACAAGAACTGTTCTTGATTAGGTGCGGGTTTTTTTGAAGGGAAAATTTGTTGCGGCTCGAAGAATGAGACCTGGTTTCTGGCTAGGTAATCATTGATACTTTTTTGTCGTATGTATTCCTCGCATGTTTTCGACGTTGCCATGTGGTCTTTACCGCAGGATGTACATTTTGGTGTATTTTGACATTCATCTCTTATGTGGTCTTCGTTACCGCATTTTCTGCACCTGGGTTTACTTTTACAGATTTTTGCTGAATGGCCGAACCTCAGACAGGAGGGACACTGGATGAACGGGGGGATGTAGGTTTCTTTAAGCATTGAATAATGGTTGTATTTAATTTCTCTGTTCCGTTTTTATTCTTTTTTGGTGCAGTTAATCTCCACTTTCAGCTTCTATTAGTTCCTCAATTGTTCTTTACGATTCCTTTTATAGTGGTCAGGTTTAATGGTATAAATGTTTTCCAATTGTTATTTATTTCAAATTTTGAAATTTAAAATTTATTTCCTAACCCAACTTAATAAGTCTTCTTCGTCTTCCTTCATAGTATGAACTTCATACATCAACAACCAAGGCCGTATTCAAAACATTTGTGTTTTATTCTATAGGATCAGCTTTAAATTTTATTTTACAAAACTTCCATTTTATAAAAAAAAAGATGAGAAAATTGTTAAAAAATAATTTTATGACATTTTAGGAAAATTTAACCAATTTTATGATAAACGGGAACCCTGCACTTTAATTAAAAAGAACGCACCTGATGTATCAAACTTACTACATAAGTTATAGCGGCCATTATAAAAACAAAATATGGTGATGGTAACCGTTACCAGGTAACGCAAAGAAATTGCATGAAAATGTAAATGTTTACATGTAAAATTTACTTTATCAAAATTCCAAGGAATAATGTTTTTGACATTTTTTTTAAATAGAACCGCCGTTTTTTTCTTAATTTTTAAATTTCATATTAATTGGCTTTTCTTTGATATAATTGTGGGATTGAAATGAAAAAATTATTACCTAATAATTGTAAAAAATTAAGGTTATTTAATATTAATATTAATAATTATGATAGTTTTAGACACTTTTTTTCCTAACATTGAGTACTCCAGCTTAGTTTAACTAATTTTGGGCCGCTGATTTCAAAAATGTCATTGGTTTTTCTCTAGGACGTCTAGGATATAAAATAATTTCGTAATAAAATGCTCTCAAAATGTAAGTTTTTTTTTAGTAATTTAATTATTTATTAAATTATTTTGGCTTAAATGTATTGAAGTAATTGGTATACGGCAAAAAAGATCATATTTATCTTAACAATATGACATTTTAAATTCTAAAACTAAAATTTTAATGTATTTTTTGTAAAAAAATAACCATTATTTGACATTTTTTGTCGTTTATTTTAATTATTGAATTGAAAGGGCAACAAAGTAAACAAGTTTCGGTATTTTTTATCCAAATTAGGCCAAAAAATTTAATGCATTGCATAATTTTGCTTTTTTCTACCTTACATTTATTAAATCGAACAAAATATCGAATTAAATTATAGTATTATTGATAGGGATGGGATATTTAGGTACTAAAAACTGAAAAATAGGTAACTAAAAAGGTACTAAAAAAAGCATTTTAGGTTAAAAAATCAGCATTTTAGGTAAAAAAAATCATTAAAAGTTTAAGTTTCGTTTATAATTTTGTTTATCCGCATACCCAAACACAGAAAATACCCACAATAAACTATTTCTATGCAATAAACTGTGTTTTACTGAGTGACACTCACTACACAGAAGTTCTATGACAGAACATAAGCTCACTAGTAGTGAGTAACTACAAAGAAGGTAACTGTAAAGAAAGTTACTGTTACAGTCTGTAACCATAAGAAAAAATTCTATACCGTTGAGTTGCACGCCCTGGATAAAATATTGGCGCAAATTTTAAAGAACAAAAAAAATAAAATAAGTAAAAATACGTAAAAATAGGTAACAAATATGTGAAAATAAACTGACAAATTAAAAAATATGTAACAAAAGTATAAAAAGGTAGTTTAAAGCAAAAACCTCCAAAAAAGGTAAAAAAGGTGAAAACAAGTTAGGTTCATATAAAAGAAAATCTTTTAAAACACATTTTGGCATTATTGGTTTTCAAATAGTTACATCGGTTAAAAAAAGGTAAAATAACTAAAATCCCATCCCTAATTATTGAGCTTAATCCTTAACTTCTTTCCGCTATACCCATACCAATGCTCTACTCGTAGTATTGCAGTTACTTGGTGAAATCGTTCTCCATGTTCATCAGTTCGGCGAATTTCTCAGGATAAAAAAAAGAAAAAGTATTTTAAATGACGTTTTAACGCTAATTCTTCACAAAACGGATATCATTTTTTTAATGAATTGGCGCCAATTTTAGGCCCGATATGAACCAAGAATATTTTCAATGATACTGCCATATGCGACAAGCTCGTCAACTTTGAGAGCATTTTTTAATGCTTGATCTTTTATTAAACGTATACGACGTCCATTTAATATTCCTGCAAAATTAAAGTAGTAGGTATATCTCTTAAAGTTTTGTAATGAAATATTTCGTTGGTTTTTCTTGGGTGTAAAGGTACCGCAACAAAAACAAAGAAATTTACAACGACGACATAAAGGTTCGTCCCCTTTCTCTTTTTCTGCCACTTCCATTACCAATTCCATTTTATGCTCTTTTTTCATTTTTGGTTCTTAAAATCTCTTTCAAGTAAAAATACAATTGAAAGTTTAAATTTTAAATGTCAAAAATTAATAGATGCACTTTAATGTGCTTGAACAATAAAGTAAATAAAGGCGCCTTTATATTTTAATTCGATATTAAATTTTGATAAGACTTAATAAATAAGATTGGAGATTTAATTTGGATACTAGGCATGATGTGAATAAAAAAATATCAAATAATAGTCGAAGAGTAATGTTTATACCGAAACCCATTTACTTTGTTGCCTTTTCAATTTAAATAGTAATTAAAAAAACGACACAAAAATGTCAAAAATTAAACTTTTTACCAGAAAAACACTATAAATTTAGTTTTGGTATTTAATACTACTATAGTATACGACTACAATGGAACAAAACAAATTTCTATTTGACATTTATCTACCGATTACTTATATGGAGTCCCTGTATATTTTTGGAAAAAAAAATGTCAAAAATATACTGAACATCCAAAATAGATTTAAGGTAAAATAATTTAATAAATAAAGATAAAGATAAATAATAATAAGATAAATGACAAGTTATACACATTAACTTTTAGCGTACTTGGTATAATTTAATATTTTTAAAATTAATACCGATTTTCTTTACTTTGACTTTCCAGCATATAAGAATTTTTATATTATAACACTCCTAAGCCTATATATACTTGAACAGTTTAAAAATCAAATAATTATACACTGTCATACTAATGGACAATACAGCAACTATAGAAATAGGTTGATTAAGACAAATGCATTAGTAAATTGTTAATAAACACCGAGATAAAAGGCGATAAATGTGATATTTTTATAAATTTGTAATACCTATTTGGAAAATAATTTAATGTATCAAACTTAAAATTTGTACAGTATAGTTTTTAAGGATGAGAAATACAAATTTGTGATCATTTTTTATGGTACTTCTAGAGGTCGAATTAAGAAAAAAAAAAGTTAAGGATTGGTTCACCCAATTCGACCTGTCATTGGCGCCATAACAACAACCATAAAAAATGATCAAAAATGTGTATTTCTTGTCCTTAACACTATAGGTAGTGTACAAATTTTAAGTTTGATACATTGAAATGCTTTTAAAATATTACAAATGTTCTCTGTATCGTTTATTATTAACATTTTACTAAGGCATTTTTGTGTCAATCAACCAATTTTGACCTCAAATAGTCGCTGTATGTTTTATTAGTTATGGAACACACGGCGGCGGACGCTAATATATGACCTTTCTTCACCTGGTCTATTATATACTATTTTAGACATTTAATGTATTCTATAATTTTTAGTAATACTTACTATTTTTTTGCTTTTTCCTATCACGTGGTGGTTCTTTAAGAGCTCTTATGATAAGAGATGCTGCGGAAGGCACGACGGAAATGGCTGCTTGACGATTTTGAATTTTCAGCTGAACGGTGATTTTGAGACCTTTCCAATCAGCAGTTCCTTTGGCAATATCATCACCAATTTTTTTTGGAGACTGTAAATTTAAATATTTATTAGTAAAACAGAAAAATAGGAAATAAATATGTGATTTATTTTAGACCCCAAAAACAGATGACACAGAATTTGATAAATTGGAAGAACATTGAAAAACAGTATAAAGTATTTATTTCAATACCTAATAGGGTCATAGATGACCTGGAGATATACCTACAGTAGATTTTTCTAAAAATAAATAAAAATCATTTTTGGTCAGTTTTTATTTATTTGTAATTTTCTTTCCAACAAATGAATGTTCGAGAATTCTCCACAGATGTCATTAATTTTTACTTAAAAAAGTATAAAAAATTTGAACTATCTGGGCGGTCTTAATTATTTTTAGTTACAAAACTTCTTTAAACAATATAAATAAATAAAATAAATAATATGATCTAAAAAGTAAATATAAGTAAAAACCTATGTGTGTTTGCAAGTTTATACCTTTTTAGGAAGTAAATCAAACAGAATAATTTTTTAAATAGAATTTATTTTATCAGATTTTGTAAATTAAATATCCGAAATGTTTTCAATATCACTATCTTTAATATTCGGCTTTGCTGGTAAAAAAAGGTCAATTGTTTCTGGCAAAAAAGAGTTTAATTTTCTTTTTTTACTATCCTCATGCTACTTGGGGATTGGAACTTAAAAGTAATCTATTAAAACATCTGTTACAGAAAATTTCCTAGCAAAGTTTTGGCGATAATTTCTAAAATGTTTGTTCCGCGCTTCCGCAGCCTCTTCTGAAAGCTGCCCAATAGGCAACAACGCGTTTTTATTTTATTTTGTGCATCGTGGGGGTCATAGGATGCCAAGGATAAAGTTCCACATACAAGCGCGCAGTATCTTGAGCATACTTGTCAAATTTTTCTTCATCAATTAAATGTCCACTTGAAATAGTTTCGAGTATAACCTTTAATCTATATATAAGGTCATAACTAATACCAGTTATTTCAGAAGCCAATGTAGGGTCTTGAAAAAATCTGCGACGTGTATTTCCATCATTTCTGTGCCGAAATTTGCCTTTGGCATATCAACTAAAAGACCTTACTCTTTTCGGAATCTTGCCTGAATCTTCAATTTTCTTTCTTTTTCAAGCTCTTTTTCCTCTTCACTTTTTCAATTTATAAGACAAATGAAGTACACTTTCTAATAAACGAATTCGTGCATGTAAGACAGACAGCCCGAACTCTGTCGCTTGCAGATTAATGTCTTTATTGAAATTAAACTGATTAAAATCTTTGAATGTTGCACCGCATATGTAGCATCGACTTGTTAAATTTGTTTCAGTGGCAGCATTGCACAATTTTTCGTCAACCATTGTCATTATAAACACATAGTTCACTTTAAATTCTTGCCCGTCAAAAAATCTTTTGTAGCTTTAAGTGAATTAGCTGGTGTTAATATAATTGATTTCCTTCTCTGTAATATCCGTGCTTTTTTTCACAAAGCGAAACCTAATGGGACGGCAATATCGCGGGGAAGAGGGCGTAGGGTTTTCCCAAACAATTTTAGCGCCATTTTCAATGAATACTAATCTTAAAGGAACAAAACAACTTTGGAATATATTGGCATCAGAGTTTGCATCATTTTCAAATTTTTGTTTATATTGCGTTTGCTGAGAGCCATCTCAACCCCATTTGCAAATAAGTTCATGTTTTTTAGGGTTATGAGAACTTCCTCTAAAACTATTGATAAACGCTTCATCAGCCAAAGCTTGTAAGTTACTTTCAGCTCCAGTACTTGATACCCTGCATTTCTCTTTGGGTTGGTAGCACTCTCGTTTTGCTTTTTATATAAGGCTATAACACGGATAAAAGTCTTTATTAGTATTTCTTACTACTTCATATTGTCGCCTGGTTAGATCGGCTTCTATAAACATTGCTAATGCTTGCAAAGGTGTGAGAGGCAGGTTTGATGCTTCTTGATTCTGATAATGCCCTTTTATATTTGGTTGCACGTGTTGGACTAGCAGTAGTTATATCTTTAAGTATAGCTGAAGCATCTCGTCACTTTTTGACTCAAGATCAAGATTTTTAATGTAGAACTAAATGATTTAACAAATGAACAATTAGTAATATTATTGAACAGAATCGTTTAAAAAGTGATAATCTACATTTTCGTGTCGTTAAATTAATTAAACCTAATAATTCTAAAGTAATGCATATTATAATGATAGATAATAGAGGAATCTATCTTTTTAAAAGCAACGCTCTTTAAATACTGTATAATAATTGGAGACTTTAACCCAAATCTCAGAAAATTTAAACAGTTAAAAAACTTTACCACCCATTCGAATTTTAAACAACTCCACACACCTCCAACTTTTTTAATGGAAAACAATAACGACTCAACTCCAGATATTATACTTCATTCGCAGAACCTCACACAATATGTAACAGTACACCTAATTGCCGACTTAGGCTCTGACCACCTGGCCATGCTTTTAAGCCTCAAAGCAGACAATTTTGAAGAACCAGTGCCAAGGGAAAAATTAGTTTTCAACAAATGCAATGTTGAATCCATAAACCATGAAATGATAAACTTCATCAATGATCATGCAGTTCCAAGTCCCAATATCATAAACCAATTTAACACTAAACTCAAGGAATGTATTTTAAGTAACACTCCTAAAAAAACAAGTAAAAGGCTATGTAAATGAGTTACCGCCGTTTATCGTCCGACTTCTCAAACTAAAACGTAGAATGTACAGGGAATACAGAGCTGTTCAAGATCCCAACACAAAAGCCAATATAAACAAATTAGGAAAAAATATAAAACATTTAATTTTTATGTATGTTAACAACAAGTGGACTAAAGCGTGTGAAGATATAAACAATGCCAAAGCAAAAGATTTCTTCACACAAATTAGGAAACTGTCGAGATACAAAAAACAACATAAGATATCTGACATAGAAGAGAATGGACAAACATATCACTCTGACAGTGACAAGGCTAAGGTTTTCGCAACTCACTTTGAGAAAGCATTTTCCCCACAACCAAACCCCAACTTCGATGAAAACCATCTACAATTTGTGGATAACTGGTACCAACATATTTTCATGGATCAAACTCAGTTTACAGAATCTACAATTGACGAAAATAACTACTATGAGCTACTCTCCAGCCAAAAGAACTCAGCACCAGGACACGATCAAACCCCTTGGATTATCCTTAAACAATTATCACCGTTAATACACGAATACATTATAAATATATTTAAGTACTGCCTTAACCATGGATACTTCCCTGACGAGTGGAAAGTAGGTGAAATTGCAGTCCTTCACAAAAGCAGAGCAGACCCTACCAAAGTCGGAAACTACCGGCCAATAACGTTATTACCTTGTTTATCCAAACTATTCGAGAAAATCATCAGATTACTCCTCGAAGAGACTACAAAAAATGCAATTCCGAACTTTCAATTTGGTTTTCAAGCCCAATTATCCACATCACATCCGGTTTCCATATTGGTTTCAAATGTCCAAACTGCAAAAAAAAAGAAAACTTCATTCTTCTGCCTTGTTCTTAGACATTAACAAGGCTTTTGATTCCGTGTGGCACAAAGGCCTTCTCTACAAACTACATCTCCTTAATGTCCCCAGACATCTGATAAATATTGTAAGGCAATTCCTGGAAAACAGAAGACTTAGAATCAAAATCAATAACGTGTATTCCCCTGACTTTTTAAATTTTCAAGGAGTTCCACAAGGATCCCCCATTTCCCCATTGCTATATAACCTATATTGCTCTGATATTTTCCGACAAACCACCCCCACTCAGTATATACTGCAATACGCCGATGATACAGCCCTAATAACTCATGAGAAAACTCTGAAAAAGTCTGTGGAGAACCTGCAAAACATAATAAACCAGACTGAAAATTGGTTCAACAAATGGAGATTAAAACCAAATCCAAACAAATCTAAGTTCGTTATATTCAACCACAAAATTAACCCTCAGAGTCCACATTTGATACTATATAATCAACGCATTTCACCCGCAAACAACACTACATACCTGGGCCTACAGCTAGATAACAAACTTAATCTTAATCTCCATACCAAAACGGCAAAACAAAGAACATTCGCAAGAGCCAAACTATTTACAGGACTAACCAACAGATGGGGTGGAATAAATATGAAAACTGCAGCTATCGTGTACAAAGCCATCTGCCGCCCCCTTCTGGAATACTGCCACCCAGTTTTACTAAACTGTCGAAAACCAGCCCTAAATAATATTGCAACTGCGGAAACAACAGCCCTAAGAACAATCTCCAAACTCCGCCATCCCCTAAACCCTCTTCACAATCCTCCCAATGGCCTTCTTTATCAAACATTAAAAATCAAAGTTCCAATTCTTGAAAGATTAAAAAATCTTTCAACTAAGTTTGCTGCTAAGGATCACAACATTGAGATACTATCACAATTATGCATTACCAGAGAAGTCGATGAAAATGCCACAAAATTCCCGGAAAATACAATATTGGAAATAATCTTACAATTATCTAATAATAATTAGTTTTTTTTTTGTATCACTTAAAGTAGTTTGTAACAGGCTGAAGGACCCCGGTCGATGGCCTTTTGTATATTTTGTATTATATGTTCTGTATTGTACTGAATATGCAATAAAAACTTTATTTATTTATTTATTTATTTATAATGGAACTTCTAATTCTAAAACATTCACAAACCTTATGTCAATTGGGTATGTGTTTGTAGGATTTAGAAAATGTTTTTTGTCTGAAAGCTTCAATATTGTCAGAAGCTTTAAATGTAATTTGTTTGGTCATATCGCAAAGGAGTGTAATTTGGAAAAAGATCATTTTTCTTGTAGTATATGTGCTGGTTATCATAATAATTATGATTACCAGCACATATACTACAAGAAAAATTATCTTTTTCCAAATTACACTCCTTTGCGAAAAAACTTTTCGTTAAATTGTATACAGTTTACACATTTTTTTTATACTTTTATTGCAATTTGATGAATTATTCATCAAAT